CCGGAATTACAGGCATGCGCTACCACGCCCGGCTGATTTTTTGATTTATTGTGGAGATGAGGTCTCGCTGCCCAGGCGGGTCTCGAACCCGCGGGCTCAGGCAATCCACTCACCTCAGCCTCCCAAAGGCGCGGGATTACAGGCTGAGCCACCGAGCCCGGCTCATACTTTTTTTTTTGAGTTGGAGTCTCACTCTGTCACCCAGACTGGAGTGCAGTGTTCCCGGCCACCACAGCCGCGACCTGCTGGGCTCTGGCAATCCTTCCGTCTCAGTCTTCCAAGTAGCTGGAACTACAGGCACGCACTACCTTTTTTTTTGTTTGTTTTGAGTTGGAGTCTCACTCTGTCGCCCAGACTAGAGTGCAGTGGCCGCTCCTGGCCACTGCAGCCTCGACCTGCTGGGCTCCAGCGATCCTTCCGCCTCAGCCTTCCAAGTAGCTGGAACTACAAGTGCGCGCGACCACGCCCAGCTAATTTTTGATTTATTGTGGAGATAAGATCTCGTCAAGTTGCCCAGGCGGGTCTCGAACCCGCGGGCTCAGGCAATCCACTCTCCTCAGCCTCCCAAAGCGCGGGATTACAGGCTGAGCCACCGAGCCCGGCGCCATGTGCCATTGTAAAGTGACTCCACATACTGTGGTCCTGAGACTGTCCTGCTTTAGGTGAAAGTATCTCAGTCTCTGCTGCTTTCACACATGACTTTATTTGTGAAGCCCTTGGGCACAGCCCAGTCACACACAGCACAAAGGGGAAAGCACAGGGCAGTTGCATGGGCCGCTCAGTGGGGTCACAGGCTATCTCCTGCCCAGTCCAGTCCCCACCCCTCCCCAGTCCCAGAAGGTCCTTTAATAGTCTGGAGGTGCAGCTCGGTCCCCAGGCCAGTTGCAGAAAGTCTCCTCAGCATACAGGGGAGAGCCCCACTGGGCCCAGAAGCCAGTGCAGTCCCAGGTAACTCTGGCTTCTGATGTCTGCCTGTCCACATGGCGTGGGAGCCAAGGGATTCCTTTCTGCAGACAACCCCACGGCACCACCTGTGGCATTCTGTTCCTCAGGCTGAGCAGTCAGCACAGCAGATTTGGATGGTAGGGATGGTGGTCACTGCATGGTGGTCACTGCAGGACCAGGGCTTGGTGACAGGAAGCAGCCCCAGGGAGAGTGGGAAGCAGCCCAACCACAACAACACAGGGAAGGGACAGCACATGGACAACTCCCCAGGCTCTGGTATAGACCAGAAAGGGGGGCATGAGGGCAAGGTGGGTGGGGACAGCCACCAGGGCCTTGAACCTGAGGCAGAGATCAGCAGGGTACCCTCAGATGGTGGTAAGTTTAATGGCAGAGAGCTCACAGCCCTTTCCCTGGGTGCCAACTCCCCACAGCAGGAGCCAGGCCAGCAGGGAGACATTAAAAACCCAAATCCTGACAGGAAGTATATACCATCACACACACCACACCGACACATATACTCGGGGGATTGACAGGACACACAGGACAAAGACCGTCCCTGCTTCTGGCCAGGGTCCTGTCTAAGGGGATGGCATGGGCTACACCTCAGGTCATAGGAGTCCCTCCCCAGGTCACTGGTCCAGGCCAAGGGATGGGAGAGAGTTTGAGTCTAGACTTTGTACAGCGTCTGCAGCAGATTGTGGCGGGCAAAGGAACAGGATTCCAGGGCACCGTTGGGCCTGCAGGGAGAAAAGGGTCAGCAAGTGGGGTGGATACCTTGGGCCTCTGGGAGCTCAGGCTCCAGCAAGACCTATTTCTCAACTTTGGGGGCCATTTTTGTGTATGACTCAATTTTTTCTAATTTGCACAATGACTCTGCAAGGAAGACATTAGCCCCCTGCCTTTTGCACATCACAGATGGGGGTGGGGTACCCACAAGGCTCAGAGAGTTGGGCACCCAAGGCCACTAAGCCCAGAACTGGCCAGAATGCAGGCTGCCCAGACAGGCTCTGCTCTCCAAGGGCCCTTCCAGCAGACACAAGGGCGAAGAGTCCTCAGCTAGAGTCCCACCTGGGTCACTAAAGTAAAGGGCCAGCCATTGTTGTCATCAAGATCATTAGTCTCATAGCAGAGAAAGAAAATGAGGCAAGACTCCAAGGAGGCTGGGCAAGTAAGGGGCACACCCCGGGCTGGCACTGAGGGTACCTTTGGCCCGAAGCCCACAAATAGGTCAGGATCTTGGCAAGACCATTTGGCAGGGAATTGAGGGAAGGGAGTCATGTATGTGACTATACCCTCAACTCAGTCATCTCAGAGATGACCCAGAGGGTAGGCTGGGGCCTGTACTGGCAGTTGGGCAACCAGCTGGGAAAAGACAGCCAGAAGAGTGTGAGGGTCTCTTCTCAGGGGTTCACACCCAGACCAAGGGCAACACAGGGGATGTTGGGAATGCAGAAAAAACAACTCTGACTAGATAAAGGAGCTGAGCTTTGTTGAGGGGTGGAGAGGAGCTGGTGCCACCATCTGGAAGCATTGCATACAGCATGAGCAAAGCACAGGGGTTGAGACCATGTCACCTGCTGTGGGAACAGGCTTGGGAGAGTACACTGTGGGGGTGGGGGTGGGGGAGGCTGCAGCCAGCCTTGAGATCCACAGTGAGGCTGGACCCTGGCAGATGAGCAGAGCAATTAGATCTGCTTTCCACCAAGGCCATTCCAGCTGTAACGCAAGGGGTGGTCTGGGTAGGGGGAACTGGTGCTAGAGAGGTAGGGAGACACACGGCTAGAGAGTAAGGCATGACTAACAAGGCAGTGCTGTGCAGACAGACCCTCGAGATGCTGGGGTGGACAAGGCTGCTTATGGTGCTGGCTGGGTGCTGAGAGGTTGGCAGATGTACGCCATGCTCCTCCAGTCTGGCCTCCCCAAGACATTTCCTCACATGCTCCAAGCACCCTACTGCAGCCTGAACCCCGCCTACATTACATGCCCCTTATGGTAGGGGGACTTCCTTGCTCCTCTGCCTGCCCCACTTGCCCACAGGTGCTAGGTCCTCAAGAGAGGGCCTGAGCTGCTGTGGGAGTGGACACAGAATTGCTCCCAGAGATATCATCCAGCATAGGACATTGCTCAGCAGACATGGATTTGGATCTGGCCTGGCCGCTTGCCAATGTGTGACCATAGGCAAACTCAACGAACCTAGATACTGGTTTCCTTATCTGGAAAGTGGGGGCTGTTACACACCCTCTCTCTCTCACAGTGAAAGACATTATCTCTAAGACCCTCTCTCCTTAGCTGGACTAAGGGGAGGAAGTCTCACAGAGATGGTGAGACACAAACTTGGATATTGAGTGCCCAGGAGGTATAAGGGCCTCTTACAAGCCAGCGTGGGGGCAAGAGAATTGTCTTCATAACCAGGTCAGGCAAGCCTCAATCAAACAGAAGCCTGAGAGGGCAGGTACCAGCAAAATGACAAGGCCACACTCACTTGGTCATGAACGCCAGCAGCAGGGGTGCAAGTGACTTGGGGAAATAGTCCTGCTGTACCATGTGGTTCAGTGCCATCAGGGGGCCATACAGGTTGGCAATGGCCTTGATCTTGTCTTCACTCTGTGAGGGGAAACACAGCAAAAGGTGGGGCGAGCTTCAGGGTCACCTGGGTGGTCCTGATCTCTACCTCCCAGATTCTGCAGATGGTGCCCATGACTGAGGTCCAACTGAGATCCTATCATGAAGGCTGAGGCTGCTTAAGGAGACCTAGGCCTTGAGGACACAGTGGGGATGACAGAAAACGACTTGAGGTATGGGATGGTGGGTGGGTGTAACTGCCCTCCTCCCTCCTGGGCCTACCACTCCTTTCGGCCTCACCTTGAGCAGACCCATGTGCACCAGGAGTCTGGTGAGGAAGGCATTGGAGTTGAAGGATGAGGAGCTGAAGGCCTTCTTCATCAGGGCATCTGCAGGGTAGAAAGCAGTGGGGAAGGAGGCTGACTGTAGCAAAGGGCTGGGCCTGGACCCCAGGGCATCCAGTGACCCTGGGCTCACACAGGCTCTCCCTGCCTCACTGCCCTGACCGAGAGGTGAACATGGGAGGGATGAAGAGAGGAGGGGAGGGGGAAGCCAGCACCAGGGCTTAGTCCATCTGTTGGTTGTGACACTTTGGCCCTTCCCCATCCTGGCCTCCTGAATAACATGGACATGGGGACGACACCCACCATACCCACCTTGCATGGCAGGCGTGAAGATTTAGTGAGGCAGACACCCCTAGGGGAGGTTTCAGATATTTTAGCGAGGCAAGGGGACCTGCTGGGATTGTGCTAGGTTGACAACGAACTTATTCCCACAAATGCCCACAGATAGGCTCTTAGGGAACAGATTCCTGTCTGGCCCTCATATCTTTTCCCACCTCAGTTCCTACAGAATCATCCCCACCTCAGCGTGTCCACAGTGGACCAATCCAGGAAGAAACACATGTGGTTCTACCCACTTCTCTCCTTTTCCATGAGCTATGCCCTTTGCCCACAGGGCTTCCCCTCTTCTCTATCTAGCCAAATCTGGCTCACACTTGGAGGCTCAGTCAGTAAATGCTGACAAGGTGATAGGTACTTGGAATAGAGGAAACTGAGAGAACAGCGTGGGGAGAGGACCATGAAGGGCTGGAGGGAGGTGGGTCAGAGATCCTAGTAAGCCCTGTGGATGACATGGGGAAAGCAGGCATCCAAGCAGGGACCTCCAGGCGGAGTGGACGCATGTGCAGAGGCTCTGAGGTGGGGACAAAGCTCTCACTATCTCTCCTCCTAAGAGGGCTATATCCATTGGGTCTTGTGGATGTGACTGACTGGCCTTACTACACAAGTGAGCCCTGCATTGGACACTACCTGCTCTGGGTTCTAACTGTGTATAGCTGCATGGCTTTGGGAAAGGCCTCAGCTTCCAGTTGCAAAAAACAGAGGAGAGCACCCAGCCTGCTCCATGGCAGGATCACAACAGGAACAGGTTGGAATGGCCAAAGAGTGGTTACCACATGAGCACTGCAGCAAAGGGTTACAGCAACTACAAATGTCAATGTCATCTGGGGCCAACAGGTCTCAGTGGGGAAGGAGCACACAGGCCTTACCCAGTCCACATTACCTACTGCATCCTGCACTGCTGTCCTCACTGTGGCTTCTTCCTTGAACACAGATGACACCTTCAGGAAGGCAGAGACTACCTTCTCTGGGTCAGATGTGTCAGTCTGAAGATATAAGAGATGATGGCAGGTCACGGGCCAGAGTCCCAGAGCTTTAACACACAGTAGAGATGTGCCTGGGTTCTCCTGCTGGCTAGAAAAGGTCTGGGCCCTGGTGGGCAAGGATAGTCCTGCCTCGCCCCATGCTGTCCCTTCAGAGTCTGATTCAGGCTTGGCTCAAAACAAGTATGCAGCACACAGAGTGAATGAATGAGTGAATAAGTAAACATTAAAAGTCATCAACCCTGGGACTCATGGTCCTCTTTTTTTTAAGTTAGAGTCTCACTCTGTCAATCAGGCTGGAGTGCAGTGGCATGCTCATGGCCATCACAGCCTCTACCTGCCTCAGCCTTCCAAGTAGCTAGAACTTCCACCTCAGCCTTCCAAGTAGCTAGAACTACAGCATGTGCCACCACACCTAGCTAACTTTTTAAAAATTTTTTATTTATTGTAGAGATGATGTCTCGCTAAGTTGCCCGGGCTGGTCACAAACCCGTAAGCTCAGGCAATTCTCTCGCCTCAGCCTCCCAAAGTGCTGGGATTACAAGCATGAGCCACCACACCCGGTAGTCCTCTTCTTATAATCAAACCTGAAGAAAACATCCAGGAGGTACATAATATTCGCATGCAAGGAAGTTAACCTCAATATTGCAACAGAGAGAGGTGGAAAAAAGTCAACATCCAGAAACAGAGGCTTGCTTTTAAGTACTACATCCAGCCGGGCTCGGTGGCTCAGCCTGTAATCCCCACACTTTGGGAGGCTGAAGTGAGTGGATTGCCTGAGCCTGCGGGTTCGAGACCCCCCTGGGCAACTTGGCGAGACCTCATCTCTACAATAAATCAAAAAATCAGCTGGGCGTGGTAGCGCATGCCTGTAATTCTGGCTACTCGGAAGGCTGAGGAGGATCGCCGGAGCCCAGTAGGTCAAGGCTGCAGTGGCTGGGAGCAACCACTGCACTCCAGTCTGGGCGACAGAGTGAGACTCCAACTCAAAAAAAAAAAAAAAAAAAAAAAGTACTACATCCACTCATTGGAATAAAGGGCATGAGAAGAGTTTTACTGACACAATAAAGTAATAAATGGTATTAAATGAAAATGGAAGGACACAATAAGGCTTATGTAGCCTCATTTATCCTAGTAAAAGGGCCAGGTGTGGTGGTTCACACCTATAATCCCAGCACTTTGGGAAGACAAGGTGAGAGGATTGCTTGAGCCCAGGAGTTCAAGACCAGCCTGGGGAACGTAGGGAGACCTTGTCTCTACAAAAAATACAAAAATAGCCAGGTATGGTAGCATGCGTCTGTAGTTCCAGCTACTTGGAAGGCTGAGGCAGAAAGATTGCCTAAGCTCAGCAGGTCGAGGCTGTGGTGGCCATAAGCGTGCCACTGCACTCCAGCCTGGGAGACAAGAGAGTCCAACTCAAAAAAAAAAAAAAAATTAGCCGGGTATGGTGGTGCATGCCTGTAGTTCCAGCTACTCAGGAGGTTGAGGTAGGAAGATCACCTGAGCAATCATGCCACTATACTCCAGTCTGGGTGACAGAGTGAGACTCCGACTCAAAAAAAAAAAAAAAAAGGAAAGAGCTGGGCACAGGGCAATCCTAGCACTTTGGGAAGTTGAGGCAGGAATATCACCTAAGCCCAGGGATTTAAGACCAGTCTGGGCAATATAGCAAGACTCCATCTCTATAAAAAATTTTAGCCAGGCTTGGTGGCTCAGCCTATAATCCCGTGCCTTTGGGAGACTGAGGTGAGTGGATTGCCTGAGCCCACGGGTTCGAGACCCGCCTGGGCAGCGAGACCTCATCTCTACAATAAATCAAAAAATCAGCCGGGCGTGGTAGCGCATGCCTGTAATTCCGGCTACTCAGAAGGCTGAGGCGGAAGGATCGCCGGAGCCCAGCAGGTCGAGGCTGCGGTGGCCGGGAGCGGCCACTGCACTCCAGTCTAGGTGACAGAGTGAGACTCCAACTTAAAAAAAAAAATTTTTTTTAAATAGATACATATATAAGAGCAACAGAGTCTACATTCTGGGTTGCCAAGGTTAAATAACACCACGCTCAAGTATAGTACCCAACAGAAAATAGGCACTTGATGATCACTTCTAAATGAACAAACCAACAAGTCAGGCTAGAGTAAGGGCAGCCTCCTTGCAATAACCATGTGACCTCCAAAAGGGCCCTGGGCAGGAGAGTTGTGCTAAAAGCAGATGGGCCAATAAAACATGCACAAAGAAGCCAAGGTGTGGACAAGCACATGCAACAGTGTAGAGAAAATGTTCTAACTCCAGGAACTGCTGGGAAATGGCACTTCCTTTGTCAAGTGGCGTGGACATCTGCAACCCCCAAGGTTGACAAATATACTGGACACCCTCATTTATGTGTGTTGCAACAGTGGCAGGTCAAGTCTCACTGCCCCCATCTGACAGCATTGCCTCCCAATCCCCCTGGGCTTTTCCCCTTTTCTCTGGCAACTTCAGAAGCCACAGCATACACAGGTTGGGAGTTGGGAAGTGCTGTTATTACCTGCTGGGCTATCAGCACGGAACTCTTGGGCCCCAGGCGCAGCAGCTTCTCTGGAGAGGGGAAAGCCAGGAAGGTGGAGACGTCTACTGGAGGAGGGGAGGACAGCACAGGAGCTGGTTCCTAAGAAGCAAGTGGTACAGGGACTCTGTAAAATTCCAAACCCGACTCTTTGACCCAGCTATGTCCATCCCCATACCCAGCACACTCATCCCTCACTCTAGTCCATCAAAGCCCAAAGTCTAGAATTCTTCCTCCCACTCAGCTGCAGTTCCCCATCTATTAGGGTTACCGGGAGATGTTGGCCCTAGCTAGCTCCTTGTCCAGAAGTCCTTGGTGTCGGAGCAACCTACCTCCCCGGAGCCCCAGAAGCCTGCTGTGGCCAAGTGGATCCTTGCCATGTCATGCAATGCCCCAGAAATGATTCAAGAGACATATGAAGGCTAACTAGAATCCAGTCTGGGAAAGCACTGCTAACAAGCACCAGGGGTACCCAGAGAAAAACTTAAACCTGAGATATACCTAGTCACTTGTACATAGTTGCTCCCATAAACCAATGCCCAAACCCGAGCTCTCCAGATTTTATTTAGGAGCTTGAGAAGAAATGTAAAGTAATGAATTGGAAGCATGGCAACCCTGATGCTACTAGCCCCTGGCCAGGCAGGGGACACCAAGTGCCCATGCTGGGTCATAGTCCTAGCCACAGTCTCAGGAATAAGGAGCTGTCCCTAAGGGTCCCCAAGATAATCCTCTGGCAGGTGGGAGGAAAAAAATCAGAATTTCTATTCATTCTTATTTTTTATTATTTTGGAAATATTTATGTATTATCTATACATAATATGGCAGCATTAAATGCTAAAATCATCTTATAAATAAATAAATATATCTATATGGGATAAATATCACTACATTGAGAGGATTTTTTTACTTAATATCATGCAATCAAAAAATGCTTGTAATCCTGCGCCTTTGGGAGGCTGAGGTGAGTGGACTGCCTGAGCCTGTGGGTTCGAGACCCGCCTGGGCAGCGAGACCTCATCCCTACAATAAAT